CTTCCTTTTCCTAGCAATTCCTTCTTGGCAGTTCCTTTTCCTGAATTTTGTGTGAGCAAAATTCAAAGCCGTGGTGTGGTTTGCTACGTGTACTGGTAGAGTAAGGCTATTCGTGTCGTGTTTCTAGCTGTCTTCACTGAACACCTAAAAATCTTACTTGGTGGAGCAAATATGCCTCTCAAAGGGAGAAACAAGGGAGTGAAAGAGCAGAAGCTGTGGCTCAAGGGAAGTGGTTGCCCAGAATTTTCCTTATGAGTGCTTCAGGCCTGTTCTTGTTTTGTATTACCTTCAGTTCTTCTGAATTGCCTGTCCCTTCTACTGAGCGGTTTCAAAAAGATATCACCATGTCATTGCAAGGATCACTCATCAGGCTGGGAAGCCAGTTATTACACTGACTGTCATTTTATAATTAACTGAAAATCGTGCTGTATTGTTTCTCCTACTGGAAGGCTTCCAGACGAGCAAAGGTTTTTACAGTAGCTGTGCACCTGCTTCCCTGTGAACTTTCAGGAAAATAGTTGTCTGAGAATTTGGGATTGTCTCTTCAGAGCGCAACAAATCCCCTTTACCTCTGGAATACTTACGAAAGGTGGATGAAAGGATGTATGAAATCTGTCAAGGCCAATTTGTGTTTTTCTCAGAACAAATATTTGGATTGAATATTGGTTATTGAACTGGCTCAGCTATAGCAGGTGGGAATGATTTTGAGGAAGGTGTTTAGAGAGATCCCAGGACTGAAATAGCAGAGGATGCTGCCAGATGGGAATACAGGATGTGAGCAGAGTTTGTGTGGAGACAGTGGCTTTAGAAATCTGCAGAGGTGCTTCTTGCACCATTTCAGAATTGAGAGTGGAGTCCTTAGCAGTGGATCAGCAGTGCCTACTTCTAGTTTGGCTGCCTGCTTGAAATTAATTCACTGGTTACTGTCACTGGTAAAATCCTAGTTTAGTCTTTAGCACTTTCTAGGCCCCCTGTTTCCCCTTGTTGCCATTCTCTAAAAATAAAGCTTCAGCAAGTATACATATTCCTCTCCCAGTCTGCAGAATTGCTTTTCTTTTTCAGAAGGGTGATATTCTGCTTTTCTATGGTCAAAGAGTTTGAAGTTCCAGTTTGAAAAGTGTGTTCCCTGTCTATAAATAAAGTTTAGTGCTTTTCATTCCAGAAGTTCAAAATTCACAAGTGGACTTTCAAGCAATAGTTACAATGACCCCATATTTTTGTGACGCTTTGTAAAAGATAACATAAAATCATTCTCCTGGGTTTTAAAGTCCATCAGCATACTCCTAATCTGGGATAATTACAGAATTGAGAGCATCTATGATAAGACTGATGATTTTGGCATCTTCTGGAGTGATTTTGACAGTAGAACTGTAGTAGGATTGAATGGTAAGGAGCAGGTGCTGCATCAAGTGCTCAAGTTAGTCCAAAGTGTAGAGATGGATTTATGGTGAGAGAACAGGGGCGGGACTGGCCACACTGACCTCATGTAGGAGCTGCCAGTTTTCCATGGTGCAGGTCTGTATTTTACTCTCTACTGAACTCATCAGGATTCAAACCAGTGACAGCAGAAGAAAAACACTATAGCGTGCAACAAGGCCCCCGGGCATCCAGTTGTGTGGAAGTTCTGCTATTGCACTTCTCTGGAGATTGCTAGTTTCTGAAAATGAGACTTTATCAAATTCAGCTCTTACTTTTTAGGGCTCACAGAAGAGAAACTTAGCTTTCTAAAATAAAAAATAAAAATCTTTCATGTAGTGCCTTGGACATAAATTTTGTTAGTCCCAAACATGCTTCAAGTAAACGAATAAAGTAAGTCAAGCATGTGTTGGCATAATATTAATATTCATTTAAAATACATCTGCCATCTAACTATTCCAATATTTATGTGAGGATGTCAAGACTAACTCCTACATCTTCCCTCCCATATACATTATGGATTTAATCTTTAGATGCATTACACAGATCTCTCTCGTCTGAGTTTTAGGAGAAAATTGTGGGGTGGAAGCATTGTGTTACTTTGTGTACATCAGCCTATGTACAAGTTACATGATACTGTTGGGCTACCCAAATAAATTGTGAATTGTCAGAGAATTGGTGGGCATAGAGACTCTTGGAGCTTGTCATAGAGTGTAGCTTCATGATTACAGAAATATGTTATATACTTCCATGCAACAGGGAGCGTAGCTACTGGGTTCAAAGCAAGAGTCTGTGTGCCTTCAGATACTGATCTCTTAGCATGGAAACAGTAGGAGTCATGCATCTAACAGCTAGAGGATAATAATTCATGTTTGCATTATATGACCACATAACAAACAATTTATGATTGCGTTACAGAGTGGATGAGCCTTGTCTCTTCTGTTACAAATTTGTGCTTTGTTCCCAGCCTCACCTATGTGACCTTCACAATGACTTGAACCCCAGTTCTGACTGCTAGTAAAAGAGCATGGGAAGTTTATTAGCTAACAGCAGGAGAGCTGCAGCTAGCAGTGAGACTGTCCATAGTGCAATGGGCAATGCAAGATGCGTCTTTTAAACTACAGTGTATTGTTCATGGTTTTTTGTTTTCTATGAAATCAAATAAGTGCAGCTGCTATTTGTGTACACTGCTGCTCCAGCAGGGGCCAAAATAATAATAATAATAATAATAATAAATATATATTTTTTCAATAGAAGAAATGCAGACAGAAGCCCATCTAATGTGCGCACTGGCTTTACCAGCAGTGGTAACACAGAACCATGCCTGCATCTCTCCTGCAGGGTGTATCAGTTCTGTTCTGGCACCATCTCTGTTAGGTTCCTGTCTTGGAGACTAACACCCAGGCTGTGGCAACTGGGCCTGTCCTTTAGGTGCTGATTTCAGTGATATTTTGTAACTTTCAGCTCTTCTAATATGGTTCAATTTTGGGATCTGATCCCAAAGCTTCCTGTGAGACCTGTCTTTGTTCTGCTGCAAGTCTATGACAGAGGAGGAACTTGGCAAAAAAGGTCGGCACTTACACAAGAGTGTGTGTGTACAGAGACAGAGCAGTCAGGGCCAGAAGACTTTTGCTGTTATATTTGGGTTGTTTGCAGATGGCAAATGGTAAGGGAAGACAGTTCAGGGAATCTCACAGGAAATCACAGCTTCCTCATAGGAAAGAAATGGCCTGAGGAGAGGAAGACTAAGCAGAAGGCAAAGGAGGTGCTGGAGGCAAGCACTGGCATCTTGAGTTCTCCCAAGAGGTAGATAGAAGTTTTTCTTTACACCCCCCCCAGGTCTGAAGAGGGGGTGTGCTGCTTCAGTGATGTTATAGACTCTCCCACTCAAGGCTTTCCATGTGCTCTCGCTCCTGTTGTCCCCAACAAGGTAAAGGCAGTCCACATTCCTCTGGCTCAGGGTTGGAATGTGCCTTGAACTGAGCAGAGGTGACTGAAAGCAACCTCGTGTGCATGCATGTGTTGTAGTTGCCCACTTCTATGAGAATCCTAAACTTGTTAATTTAATAATTTCTTATGCTATACTGTATCAAGTCTGTAGTCTGACCCATTGAAAGAGATAAATTCCTGGTACCTGTTCAGGTCAAGCTTTTGCAACAAAAGCTGAAGACACTTTGGCTGGTTGTACTGTCTGTGCTATCAGTTAAAGAAGAACAATGCCATCTTGTCTTCAGTGAGGAAGTAGTTTCTGTGCCAAAACATGGAAGGACCTGTTGGCTTCTTCAGTATCTGGGATACCACAGAAGATAACGTTAGTTTCTGCAAATGTTAAATTCTTTTCCCTGTTTTCTTTTCCTTTTCACAGCCTGTGGACTTGTTTGAGATGATTGAAAAAATGCAGGTAAGGAGAAGTTATTCTGTCAAACTTTGGGATCTTTTGATTTTTTTTTATAGTGAAACAGATAATCAGCTGCTATTTGTCTTGTCACTTCACTCCTAATAACCTTTAATTTGGGCTTGCAGAATATTTAGCTCCCATACCTACTCTTAAGTGGAGTTTCAAAAGCATTTTTCTGTGTTCATTTTCCAGCCAGCATGATGGAAGGAATAGACACAAATTATTATAATTCTGTCTGTTCTTTGCAGAGTGTTATTCTGAGAGAAAATCAAAGTTGCATTAAGTTATCTCTGGCATCTTCAAGAAACTTTGTTTCTGCTGGGTAGCAGCTGCTAATGACAGGTGATGTTAACATAACTGCATTTAGCAAAGTCAAAGAGTTTAATGAATAACTACTGTTAGGCCCCATCTTTAACTTGCACGAGAAAGAAGGACTTTGGCTTAATTATCTTATGAAAATACTTGGATTTAGTTGCATATATTACATAATAAATTAGAGTAAAAGGGAAGAAAAACAACCCTGCCCTACCAAATAAAGAGATCGTAATATAATAATGCTATATATGTTATATATCTAATAACAAAATCTTGAAAACAAAATTTTTCAGATGATCTGTTCTCAGAGCATCCTTACAGAGTACCAATGTTTTCTCTCAGTGGTACACCTTCTTTAAAATGCTGTGGTGAACTTTGACCTAACGTAGCACATAACATGGCATATAGTGCCTGCCTTTTGTTATGGGCAGGAATTAAACTCATGAGAAACAATTAATTTCTTTTCTGGAATTTGGGTGATAAAATTATGGATATGAGGAAAATGCAAGACTTTGGGACTATAAAGGTGAGGAGGTGGAAGGTAGCAGCAAAACGCTGAGTACAGAGTTATGAGGCTGAAGTTATTTGGCAGACTAGAAAGGAGAAGTGGGGGAAGGAGGAGATGAAGGTATATCTTCTCTATATTCATGTGCGGACAGACCTTGAAACCACTGTACTGACACCCAAACTATATTTGGGATATATGCCCAGTGCTTTGGAACAGCAAGCTCTGTAAGTGTGCCTGGCTCATTTAACACTATGCTAGAAATGAGCGTGCAGAGCTTCTTGTTCAGTTCAAGCACATGTTGAAAGCTATGACGATCCTTTCCAGGCCTTTTGAAATCTGTATAAGGAAGAATCGCTATCAGATGTCCCTTACTGGAAGACTGTGTTGCTTAAGATTCTCAGTGTTTCTCAGCTCCCAGTTTGCTATAAGCAAACTGTCTGTCACTGGACTTGGACCTTTTTAGTTAGAGATATAACAGAGAGAGCTGATGAGAATTTCCAACAATTGCAGACCACCTAATTTTGCATCTGTATTAGTTTCTTGGCTGCCCATTGTTAAGACTGTGTAGTGGTATGGTTTTTTTTGGTTTTTTTGTTTTTTTAATTAAGCTTGTCACCTGACTTGCACTAGGAGAAATAACTGCTGCTTAAGTATGACAGCAGTTTTTTGAAAGAATGAAAGAGAGGTGTTTTCCAAAAGAAAAAACTCCCCCTTCGATATTTCTTTTTATTATTTGTTGTGATCTTTCTTTATATTTTTACTAATTCTTTATTTATTCTTTTTTTTGTTTGTTTTTGCTTTTCCCTTTCCTTCCATTTGACTTTGGCTATCCTTTAGATTTATTGAATTATTCTTGAAAATTGAATCTGGGATTTTCATTATCAGTCAGGTGAGTAAAAGCTGAAATAGGAGACTTGGACATTTATCCTGTAAAACAACAACAAAGCCACAGGATAGAATTAGTTTTTGAGTACTTTAACGATCGGATTGGAGCATAATTGTTTGACTGAAAATTAACATAGCTATGTCACACTATGTGTGATGAATTAGCAGGTGCTCTCTGTTTAAACTGAAACCTGTCCCCGAGATCTGGGAATGAAGTTTGCCTTTTTTTTTTTTTTTTTTTTTTCCCAATCGTAATCATCATTACTTGACGTAAATGGGCTATGGGCCACGTTGTTCTATGTGTACAGGTATAGTAAAGACTTTGTTCAGGACACTTAGGAATACATTGTTCCTAGATTGCTGTGCAGCACAAGCAGTTGAATAGCAAGCAGATCTTATGTCAGCCAATAAACCCAGATGCTTTGGGTCTAGGCATACTTGCATAACCAACCCCACTTCATTTACCTGCTTTTGTCTTTTATGGTGTGATGTTTACTACCTCTATTCTGCATTTGTACAGCTTCAACATGTCCTTCAGTCTTATTTTCTCACAACTACCTTCATGTTTTTTTTTCCTGTGTCCCCTTTTATATCTGAGCTGTCTGTTTTGAACAAGTCCCCTCAAGGCACCAAAAACCCCATAAAAAACATGTGTTATCATAGCATTGTTATGCCATGTTGGACCCAGCTGTGGGTCTGGATGGCTTTTTCCTCTGCTGTCCATTGTTTCATCCTGCTCAGGCCAGGTGTTTCCCCTGTACAAGACCCTGGGGATATCAGATTCCCAGACTGATGCTGTCTCCAGTAAGCTACCCAGGGAGAGAGTGAGGGAAAGCCTTTCTTTAAAGGAAGTGCTGCAAGCCAAACTGGACCAAACCAGAAGGGTGTCTTAACAGGTGGCTGAGACTGCTACAGTTTATGCCTCTCCCTTTTGAGGAATGGCAGTGATCATCAACCAGTTGCTTTGACACTTCAACAGCTTATGCTGTAAGTTCCCTGCAGTCCTGGTTGCTCGCAAAAATAAAGCTTTGGACTATACTGCCCAGGGCTCCGTTAGATCTTTGCTAGCATCTTAAGCTTCACCCTAGAGGAGAGGTTGGTATATTTAGGACTATGTCTTCTGCTCCCAGGCTACAAGGAGCTCCTTTAGGGGTGCGGAGTCATGGAATGTGCCAGCACATTCCTTTGCTCTTTTTAGAGGCTCTGCTACAAGCAGCAGCTCCTTTACAGCAGCCCAGGAAGTTTTCCCTTAGGCCTCTCTGAGATACTGGTCTTCTACCAAGACCCCCTTTGAAACTGGAAACTTTTTGCAGTTATCAGATCTGCCAAAAATGCCAAGGAAGGGCAAAACTCCAGTTTCCCGACCTCCATTTCTGTGTGCAGAAATCCCCCGATGCATAGCAAGTTTGTCCCAGTACTTTCCACAGTCTGTTCCGGAAGGCTGGGGCTGCTTTGTACTTGCATGTGTCTCCTGTCTCAATCCTATTTTGATAGAGCATAGGACTTTCTTGCCCCAAAGAACTGTTCCCAAGATCGCTGTTTCAGAACCTAGCCTTCCTCATGAGCCCCAACACACTAGGCTGGCAAATGAAACTCCAGATCACATCAATATTTGTACTTATATTTCATGCATTCCACTTTCTCAGCTTTATGACTTCCCCAAATGTGAAATGGTTAGTACTGTCTCTGCAAAGGTAAAGATCAATTGTCATCCTCTGTTTCATCTCAATTTCACAACCTGCCACATCCTGGTAATTTGTTGTTCATTTTGTCAGTGCTGCCTAGTGACACTGCAATTGGAAACAGATCTTCTGATGTTTCCATATGAAGAATAGTTCTAAGCTGGTATTTGCTTAGGCTCTGTTGAAAATACAAATGAAAACAAATCTTTTTTTTTTTTGACATAACTCTCTCTGTCAGCTTTTATAGTTTGATCCTGTGTCACCCTGTAGACATTTTGACAAGCTGCTTTCTCCTAATACAGTTAAGGAAGATAAATTTTATGCTCTTATTATGTTATTTGCAGATTGTTCCTCACTTGCTTTACTGTGTTCCTGTATTTCACCAACTAAAATCTGTTGTTATTGCTATTTTTTTTCTGTTTGAACTCAACTTCAGACTTATGAAGAATGCCCTTGTGCATTTACTACTAGTCTCCCTTACCCTGGAGTTTAGCTGTACTGGTTTACTTCTGGTGTTTCTAAGAGTTTTTTGAAGGTGTTATGCATTTTTTGTGAGCTCAAGGTCTGACTCCTCATCATTTCATGAAGGTTTAGGTTTTCTTACAGCTCATTTTTAGGTTATTTTAATAAGCTTCCTCATTTTTCTATAACCACATTTTTATGTGTAATGGATGTCTTTTTTTTTTTTTTTTTTTCCCATTTTTATTTTGTTGCTCCTGCAAGGAGCATGCTGATCATTATTAATTCTCACTCTAATGTTGCTGTTGACCAATATTAATGTTATTGCTATACTAGAGTTTTTTCAACCTATATGGCTGGAGCATTGGCCCCAAACTTTTGATCGTTAGCCTCTTGCATCTCCACTGCAGAGCTCCACTCAGCTGTACATATTTCTACCAGTGGCTAGTTTACAAGCTAGTTGCACTGTAGAATACTTGCATAGACATAGCTGTTATAAATCGGATCCTGCTTATTTTCAGAGCAAAGTTGAGAGCTGCTTATTCTGTCTGGAATTCCAGACTCCATTAAGCAGTCACTGATAGTGTATAAAAATGTAGCCTCAGCATCATGTTCCGGTACGAGAGTTACAATATTTAGGTGGCAGTAGTTGAATACTCTGGTATTTTGTATAAGAGAAAGCTACAACTTAAATCCTGGTCTTCAGCTTCCTATCTGACAATGCAAATTTTGCCTCTTACTCTTCTGGCCCTATTGATGCCCACTTAGACTATGGTCATCATTTTACAGGAGCCTGTTGGCCCCCATATCTTTTTGGCTTCTTTCATTCTGGGCCTCTGCTCAGTCTGTGTTGGAGCTGTTCTCAGTAAAATTTTCCTATTCCTGTGTGCTTCTGCAGGAGAAGTGCAGTGGAAGTGAGCTAGTCTTGCCATGGTGAGAAGGCAAGAGGATGGAATAGCCTTAAGAAAGAGAATCAAGTCTGGATGCCAGCTGCTAATTCAGGAAGAAACTAGGCATCTAGTAGTCTTTTGCCCTGCCATTCCAAGCCATTTCACAGTAATGGTGCCTAGCAAAGCAGATGTGTGGGGCTTGCTATGCGTCTCCTTGCTGCTTGCAGGAGTCTGTTTGCACTAGTCGGGTGTATGGATGGGGAGCAGCTCTGATTTTCTGTCTTACCTCCAGGAAACAGAGTTGTTCCCTTATGTGGATGGAAGCAAGGCACATAAGCTGCTTAAAAGTCTTCTTGCCTAGCCCTAATCCTGAAACCAAATGTTTGTTACTTTTCTTAACCATACTCTGAGGTTCTCAATGCTCTTCCTGACATTGTGTGCAAGGGAGAGGGAAGAGTAGAACAGGAACGAATGGTCTGAAATACTGTTCTTTTGTGTTCTGTCTTTACCTTTTCCTTTTTTCATTGCTTGGGATAGGAAGTAAAGTAGCTAGAAGAGATTGGAGAATTAAATAAGAAAATCAGTTTGGGAGATTGCTTTTGATTTCTGCCAGATTTCTGCTTTTTAACAGCTGTAAGTGGGTTTTAATGCCAAACTAGGGGACTGGCCAAGTTCTAGCTTTACTCTTTCTGTTTATTCCAAACTTCCAAACTTGCATAAAATAGATTACAGGGAGTGACAAAATACGCATATTGGAGATACAGAGAAGGACACAGAGGGTAAGTCAAACAGAGACACTAAAACATAGGATTCACTGTCTGTGACTTTCTGTTTCCAGGGCAGTCGTCTGGACGAACAAAGATGTTCCCTTCCAGCTCCTCTCAAGGTCAGGCCAAGTTGTTGTTGCCTCCTAAGTTGCTGAGAATGGTAGATAATAAAACTGACCTGGCTTGCAGTGTATTTTCATCTTGGAATGAACAGGGAGCCTACGAACAGCCCAAGATATGCTTGTCTTTTTTTATTTTTTTTTTTTAATTTGCTGCACAAAAGCATGAAACTATGCAGCTGAAACAGAATCAATACTTCCCTTTTTCAAATTTAAGTGGTTCCAATAAGCTTTCAATATTACTAACAATCTTAGTTTTGACTAAATAATTTCTTAAATTTTATTCAATTAAGAGCTATAATAATATTTATGAAAGCACATTGCATTTATTTCAGTAGTCTGCTTGAGGACTCAGATACTACTAGAAAACTGGTCTGTTTTCCTCAATATTGGGCCAATAAGAACGGATTCCTATCTTTAAGTTCTCAACTCTTTCTCTCCATTCTTTCAGTCTCAGTTCAGGCACAGTAACCTTAAAATCAGCCTTCACCTTGAATTCAATCTTGGAATAACCTTAAAAAAAAAAACCAACAACCAAAAAAAACCCAAACCCCACATAGAGAATTGGTATAGCTCAATTCTGACAGAGATAGTTGGTGCTCTTTTTGGTGATGGAAGGGGCACCCAGCTGGCATAAAATTACTAAGATAGTCCTCCTATTCTTGCAGTCATGTCTCAGCACTGCTCAGTTGTGTACCACAGGTCTAGCTATGGACGTGACACAGCCTTGATCTCACTGTAAATACGGTACTATTTCTATCATCCCTACTGTCATCTCTGCAGCTGTCTAACGTTGTGTGGAAGGAAAGGAGAGAGGCTGTCACTCCTAACCTGATACAATTTACCTATAGTTTGACTACCTCCTCATTTTGCATGCCTGTATTCTGTGGAGTTTCAAGGAGGAAGGTGGGCGAAATCTGACTTGTAAATTTATTGTTCTCAAAGTTCTATATTATAATGCTGAGACTTGGGAAATGGATTCTAATCTTTAATCCTAAAGTAAAAGTCTAAAGATGGAGTAGGGCAGAGTGGAAGCTGAGGGCACAGTTTCCACCATTGTGAGAGCACGACACTTTAAACGATGTCACTTTTTTTTGCTAATGGTCTCTTCTGATTTCAGACAGAAGAGGAGTATATTCCTTACCCCAGCATCCACGAGGTGAGTTAGTACTGCTCTCCTCTGTTTTTTCTTGGACTTCACTGGCCTTTCAGCTTATTGGCCTTTCAAGCTTTCATTTCTGTGTCCTTCTGAAATAGGTATTACAGAAAGGGTGGCCATATCCTCTCATTATCTTACCCCAGTTTGGGGGCTACTGGATTGAAGGGACCAGCCACAACCTCTCCAGTCTGAGTCCCGCTCTGTCTGACGTACCCTTTCCCTGGAGTGGTAAAGTGAAACTGGAGAGTGACCCTACAGCCAAGCTGTACCGCAAACATTTTCTGGGGAAGGTAAGGGTGATCTTCAGAACCTTCTCTGCCCACCCAGCCTCCAGGCTGAAATGTATCTTGGTCTTTTCCTGACGGACTTAGAAGTAACTGCACAACCACTCCATTTAAATTCCTCATGATGCCTTGAACTAATGCAATTAAGGTACATACTACCGTATGGTTAGTAGTATATTGTATATGACTGGAGCACAAGTCATACGAGGAACGGCTGAGGGAACTGGGGTTGTTTAGTCTGGAGAAGAGGAGGCTGAGGGGAGACCTGATCGCCCTCTACAGCTACCTGAAAGGAGGCTGTAGGGAGGTGGGGGTCGGCCTCTTCTCCCTGGTAACAGATGATAGGACGAGGGGGAATGGTTTGAAGCTGCGCCAGGGCAGGTTTAGGTTAGATATTAGGAAAAACTTCTTCACTGAAAGGGTTGTCAGGCTCTGGAATGGGCTGCCCAGGGAGGTGGTCGAGTCCCCATCCTTGGAGGTATTTAAAAGAAGGATAGATGAGGTGCTTAGGGATATGGTTTAGTGGTGGGATGGCAGGGTTAGGTTAACGGTTGGACTCGATGATCTTAAAGGTCTTTTCCAACCAAAGCGATTCTATGATTCTATGATTCTATATTAGGTTGGTCCTGTTCCCTTGTGATATGTGCATTACCCTGTGCATTAACAGAAGAGAAAGGTTTGCACAGAAAATACTTGCGTTGGTTAAGAAGCTCTTTTGAGGCTCCTGGACAGATACCAACCTTGGGATGACAAGGGGGAAAAAAGTGTAATAATATTGGAAATTGAGATGGTATTATTTTTAGAGAGGACAGTGCAAGCCCCTCAGTAGTAAGAAAAATGCTCCATTTTCCTCGGTGTGGATAAGTAGCAAGTATGTGGCACTTAGGGACATGGTTTAGTGGTGGACTTGGCAGTGTTAGGTTAATGGTTGGACTTGATCTTAAAGGTCTTTTCCAACCTAAACAATTCTATGGTCACCACAGAATGTATATGAAGAAACCGGTCAATATATTTTATAGCTATTCAATTTAAGTGAGTTTGGTGCTAAGTGTTGCCTGACTTCAAAAATTTCAGTCTGACGGACAGGGAGACACAGCTTGGCCTCATTTGAGTGGGTGTTTGTTGGCTGGCCGTTAAGGTCTGTCTGGGTTGGCCTGTTTTGATTGATTCCCAGACTGGATCTCAGGATGGTATTATCCATCAAGAACAAGTGAGAACAAATCCATGATCTTCTCTGATACTGAGTTAATGGCATAAGGTGATAACAAAGTCTGACAGGTATACTCATGCTGCATCTTATTTGGTGGTCTCCCTCTGCGACTGCTTAATAAGTTCAAAACCAGGAAGACGTGGAGCTTTGGGCAGTGCTGGCGACCTGTTCTGCAGTATTTGGATTTGTCTGAATGATCTTGTGTAATATGCGACACTAGAATATTAATATAACTTATACGTAAAGTACCCTTCGTGGCGGCTTCCTCTCTAGACTGACAGATCTGCTGTACAATCTATTGTTAATGGACATTTATCTGGTGACATTCTGGAAGCCTTCACTATGCCAACTGCTATTATTTTTCTGTCATGGTAAATTTAGCGTTGTGCTTGAAGGTTTCCAGAGCCAGCTAGGACGAGAGGCAAAATTGGATATGATTTTTCTCAGTGTGATTGTAGGGTTCACTGCTGACCTGATATCACAGAATCACAGAATGGTTGAGGTTGGAAGGGACTTCTGGAGCTCATCTTGTCCATACCCCTGCTCAAGCAGGGCCATATCATCATTGTTCCTTCCAAGGGAGATCCAGGAATTCCCATACCATCGGACTCTATACATTTGCAAAGTACCCAACCATCAGTGCTTCAGTACAACAGAAAAACTACTCTCGCCTCTACTCTTTCTTTTTAACGGTGTTCAGTGTTTTATTCTTTGTCTTAATTGACATGAATCTGTGTCTGTGTTCCATTAAACATGCAAATTTTTGAGCAAGCCAGTGTCATAAAAGAACAACATGAACAGGACTCTTGCCATGGAAAACTCTGACCATGGGTAGAAAACTTTACCCATGTCTTTACCCATGGTTTAAAGGCTTAGGTAAGGAGAGAGCTCAGAGCTTTTCAACAGGAAAAGTATTTCTTCAGTTCAAAGTTGAGAGATCAGTGATTTTGATTCTGTGTGGATTGGGTCATTTTCTTGCTGATAACATGGGAAGTTTATTTCAGAAACGTAAAGAAAGGTCTTTTGCGTGCTTTGAATAACTGTGAACAATTCTTAGCTGAAGAAGAGTCCATAAGCATCATGTGATGGGAGAGGCATAGCCAATGGTTTAGGGAATATCCTTTAAGCAAGATGGGAGATCAGAGTATGTGGGGTACTACGGACTTAATATGCGTGACTGTCTTGTGGGTGTGCATATGCTAGGTCACTCAAACTCAGACAATTCTTTTGACACTTTTTGTAGAACACCTTATAGCAGACCCTATAGAACAACCACAAAAAAAAGTGCTAGGACATACTGAGCCATAGCTCAGTTCCTTTTCTTTGTTTCATGGTTTATATTTTATACGATGATTACACAGGAAGATTCATTTTGCCTGTGGGAAGAAGGCTGTAAAACCTTATGTCTTATACTGTGGGAATTATTAAATGTTTACATTGTTTTTCAAGACTATAATACAGAGAAGTAGCCTGAAGCCAGGAAGGATTTTATATAGGTGTACATTGGAAATGCCAGTCAAAGAATCTTAGAGTGCAGTTTCACAAGCACTTGAAACTGGCAGTGCTGATGAGAGGAGCTTTCTTGCCACACATTCATATGTGGTCATGTATTTCTCCATTATGCTGTCCTTTCCTTGTGCTGGTTAAAGTATTGCTGCTGCAGTGCTGTGAACTGTTGGAAAACTGACTCAGTGGAGTCCTCTTGGTGGAAAGAACCATGCCTTAATTTATTAGTGTGAAATTCTAGCTTAACCTAGGACAAAGAGGTGAAAACTATTTGAAGCAGTGAAAGGACATTTTTATTATGTAATAATATTTTTTGTTATTTTAAAGTCTGTCTAATTTTGTTTCATTACTACAAGTCTATGATTTTAGTAAACGCGTTCTCTGACTTGCTGAGACTGTAGGTCTTCTCATATTGAGGATCATTTTCCTCTGGTATGCAAATACATGTGTTTTGGAGCCTGTTACTGTTTTGCTGTCGTGACAAGCTGATATCAGCCCAAGATTTTTTTTTTTTAATTTTATGGCTTTTTTTTTTTAGTTTTCTCCAAGCAGAGATGCAGGGAGGGCCTGCAAACAGACAACCTATCAGGTATTATTTCAGTACCGCCCCTGCCTTAGTGGTTCTGTCTTCTGCAGTTGCCAACAATGGTAGTAGCTTCTAGGTCCTTGCTGTCATCTGACTGGCAAACACCACCTTACACTTTTACAAAAAGAAAGCTTGCTGGAATAATGATGCTGCCTACTCAGTACTGTAAGTTTATTAATTATTGATCACTGTTGATAGGTTTGGATGTTCATGTATCACTAGCTTCCTGTAGGTCATCACATAAGCATTTGTCTACCAAAGCTGCTTTGTTTCCTTCTTCAGGGATGATATTTTACCAGGTGACCAGAGATTGCCAAGTTTTCTTCAAAGTTAATTTTTTTTTTTTTTATTTTGAGTTGTCTTGAAGGAAGAGATTGGGCTAATGAACCCATTCTGAATCCTGTAAAGATCTTTTAAAGTTCTCTGGCTTCCTATGCTTCTATTGCCGAAAGAACTCATGAAGCGTACCAGGTCCCACGGGGAAGATGTCTTCCCAGCTGCCCTTGCATAACAGATATGCGACTCTGGAAGTCGAGGGCCAGGCAACTGAGGATGGGGATGAAGGCCCACCTAGGGGGTTGGCTAGGGAGAGAAGGTCACCCCATACCTATCAAGACTGACTGTACAAAGAAAAAAAGAAGGGTAGTTGTTGTGGGCGATTCCCTTCTGAAGGGAATGGAAGGGCCGATATGCCGCCCAGACCCATCCCATAGGGAAGTCTGCTGCCTCCCTGGGGCCCACATCAGGGACATTGCCAAGAGACTCCCTGGTCTGGTACGGCCCTCTGACTACTATCCACTATTGATTGTACAGGCAGGCAGCGATGAGATGCCAGAGAGAAGCCCCAAATCGATCAAAGGGGACTTCAGGGCACTAGGGAAAATGGTTGAAGGATCAGGAGCGCAGGTAGTGTTCTCCTCGATCCCATTAGTGTCAGGAGGGAACATGGAAAGGAATAGGAAAACT